TATCTCTAAAGAGTCTCCTACAAAAAGTGGAATTAAAGGGAGTTGTTCAAAGGAGATCTCTGGATTTCCTCGAGGGAAAAGACAGAAGCTTGAGCTTCGTTTGAAAATATCAAGTTTTGATCTAGAAGAATTTGCCTTGTGTAGAAAATACCAGATTAAAGTGCATAATGATAAACCATATCATGTCACAGAAAGCTCATACAAGAGATTTTTTTTTTTTTTTATATATTTTTAAATTTTATTTTTTTTTAGTTAACACTGCCTTAATATTTGTTTCATTAGATGGCAATGATACAGTTCCTTCTTGTGACTTTGGTTCATTCCATTCTATCAACAATATAAAAAGAAAAGGTTACCAAATAGTTTGCTAAAAAAAAAAAAAAAGGCCAGGGACCAAAGCAAAGAAATAATCCCATCTAAGACCTAAAGATCATCCACATAAAAGTGCCAAATTGTCGTGACTCGCACAATTAAGAAAATTCACTTGTACAAGTCACGAGGGGCATTTGTTGGCACATAAATTTTAAACCAAATTTATGTTTAAATTTCAAATACAGTCAATCACACACATAGAGCCTACGATAAGATTATTGTAGGCAATCACTTCCCAAAATGATTAACTTGCTCCGTTGAAATGTATAAATAAAACAACGTCGTATCTTAACGACGTTATTCAAGATGCTCAAATGACACGTGGAGCCTACGAAAGATGACACCTGTAGAGTCTACAACAAGGACACCACACAAGATGAAACCCCAAAGATCAATCCAGTTAATCAGATAGCGCTATTATTCAAAATTTAAATGGCCCTATCATTCAATTTGAAATTAAAATATCATTCAATTTGAAATTCAAATTGAAGATGAAGCATTCCTATCACCTGATGGCCCTCCATAAATATGAGGACCATCACACAAGACGCGGGGATCGGAAAGAAAATCAAAAGGGAAAAGATCAGAGAGAGAGAGAAAGAAATTGAGAGCTAAAGAAGTCGTTACAAAAAAACAAAAAAAAAGAGAAGCCTAGAGAACTGAAGAGCCTACGCTAATGGCGATGAATAGGTAAAGGGTTCCAAACCCAAGAATTGTATTTTTTGTATTCGAGGGTTCAAAACCCATAATAATTTCAATAAAATATTTCTTTCTTTTTTTAATTGTCTTTTGTTGTTTATTTTGTTCTTCATTAATCGGAGGTTTCATTTGTATAAAATGTGTAATTAACGATCTGAAATACAGATCGGAAATAAGAACCTGCTATTCAAATAATCAACACTGTTTAGTCAAAAAACTAAACAGTGGACATTTGTAACATAAAATTTTGAAATGTGTTGAAACACTTCGGGTGTATTTGGTAACGTTTACGTTTTCAGTTTATATTTACCAAAATTTTATAAACTGGTTTTTGTTTATTTTTTGTTTATTTTTAGAAAAACATAAACTACAAAGGTGTTTGGTAATTGACAAAATGTTTAAAAAAAATTTAAAAATATAAAAAAAAAGTGAGAGGGCAAGTGGCGGTGGAAGACGGTGGTGGAAAGTGGTGACAGTGGGTGGTGGGTTGCTGGTGGTGGTCGGTGGTGGCGGGCAGGTAGGTGGGTGACGGTGGCGAGTGGTGGGTGGTAGCGAGTGGGTGGTGGCGGTGGCGGTGGCGGGTGGTGGGTGTTGGTGGTGGTGGCAGGTGGGTGGTGGGTGATGGTGGTGGGTAGGAGGTGGGTGGTGGTGGCAGGTGGATGGTGAGTGGTGGTGGGTGG